AATGAGGTGGAGAGTTTTGGAAAAATGAGTCGAGCGGGGGTTTATTATCTCGTTCGAGGGGCTGCTTTATTACCTCAGAAACTCGATGCCGGGGATTTTAGTAATTACGTAATGAAATAAATGCCTACAGTTGTTTTTTTTAATTAAAGTAAAGAAACACGATTTCTCGTCGACTAGTGCGTAACAATAGAGAAAGTCTTTTTTTTCTCGAAATCAACATTTTGCAGATAACATCATCGAATCGGAAACTAGTTCTCTAATTTTTTGGTCTCGTGTCAAGCCAGAAAAACTCATTTCTTCAAGTCGTATGCATCGATGACATCTCCACAAAGTGCCAAACTCTTGACACATCGACAAGTTTTCGCGTACCACAACCGTTGCCGAATAAAATCCACAGCTAATTCTAGCTTGCAAGTGGCTTGTAAATTAAATTTCGAGTGGCTGTGCTCATGTATCCTCTTCTCACGAGTGCGACAACGCGATTACTCATCGACACGACACAAGATGACGAGGAAAGACATGGCTTGTGTGTGTGCGGGTGTGCAGACACTCACCTCGAGCGTAACTTCCTTAATAGTCAGCTAATTTCTGCACCACGACGTGATAGCGGCTGCAAAGGGGGTAGCTTTTGTCTGCTCCTACTCTCCAAGGTACTCCTGTATCTCGCCCTTGTTGCGCCACGGCGTCAAATAGATTACGACGGCTGGCGTGGAAATTGATTGAGGGACTCTGGTGTATTCTGCTGTGATGTCTGAAGACGTTTGTGGTTGAGCTAATGTTGAGACGGCTGAGATCACCTTGATTGCGCGATACTATTATATATGGCTTCAAAGGGTGACTTTTCGTTACATTTTATTGCCCTTTTCTTTTTTTGTAAATCATTTTGAACTGTCAGGGTTGGTTTAAAAAAAAAACAAAAAAAAAACAAGTGCCTCCCTTATTATAGACGGAATAATTAAAGGACGCATGTATAACGAGACATAGGGGGTACACGCAACAATGGTTTCCACCCGCAGCCACCGTCTTTGATAAATACGCGCGATTTGCGATTGTCCAAAGAGAATTGATAATTAAGCCATTAAAAGGTCCTTTATCTCGGTGCTCATGAAGTAGATTATGCCTTTGAGTTTGCGCTCGTGCACTCGCTGTACGTGCAGCTGAACCACTGACTCGATCCTCTCGGCAAACGGAAATATTCATGGAATTAAAATCACCATCCTGATAAATATTTTTTCACCTCGCTTCGAGGCTATTATTCTTTATTCTGTCTACGCTCGAGTTTGAATGAAAGAAAAAAAAAAATAAAAAAAATAACCCCGAGTAAATATTGTACTAGAGTCCCTCGCTGCGTTACAACGCCGGGAAAAAATTGCAGATGCGGGCGTAACGAGTGGCTAGTTAATTCGTACATGATTAGCGTTTGGAAAGAAGCGTCAGCAGCGGAAATGAGCGGGCAAAAAACGTGCGGAGTGGATTATGGTGGGGGGGGGGGGGAATAAAATGAGAAAGAAAGATGGAAGCGGAGGAGAAAAAGGGGCAGGCAAATGCGAGACTCGACTTTGATCATTAAGAATTCCCTTTGAATGGAATGGGCAAATTCCCGCGTGTGCGCGAGCGCGTGGAAATGGAGAGCTATTAAATAGAGTTACCGGTGCAGCCAAAGAAACCCGAGCGCTGAAGCATGGAAGGGAAACAATGGACGTACAAGGCTTGCACTCCATCCGTGTTTTTCTCCTTTTTTTTCCTCCCGTGCGAGCATTTTTTACCTTCGTCCTCACATTAGAACAATATCACGAGGAATCTTGATATGCAAGCTGGTCGTATTAAAACTGCGATGCGCACGCGAAAGGGAATTTGTGATGGGCAAGGAAGGGCAGCTGTTGGGCTTTTTACAGCTTACGTGAAAGAGCCATTTTTCTGCTCCAGTGGATTTTAATCTGTTAATAAGTCGTATGTTGCACCTTTTAAAAATTCTTTTAATGCCAAGTATAATCGCCTACTTGATAAGTTTTATTTTTTTTTTTTTGCTTACTTGTGTCAATCATGAGAAACCTACGTATTCTTCTATTGCATTAAGTAGGTACATATGCTTTTGCCAGAAACAACTTTAACTTGTACACACCTTATACGTTAGAAAATAGATTATTTTTTTATCATTCAAATAATAGCAACATATGTAAATGTAATCCTAAGATTGATGTGGATGGCTTGAATCTCATAACGACAACTAGATAAATTATCATCGTTATCGTCACTAACATTTTTATTGTGATCATTATCATAACAACTTAGAAAATGCATGACATAAAAGACAATGTATGATAGGCAATATATTAGAAATTACAAATTTTTGTATATGAAAGGACAGCGTAATCCCTTGGCATATGACTTCGTTTCAAATTACACACTGTACTGGAAACGGTGACAAGTGCTTGCCCTTAATGTGAATCATTAAGTACTTTCTTCGGGTAAGTCAAATCGATTTGTATGGACCACGTAAGCTAAGTTTGATACAAAGTAACGTTCTAAACCTAATCTCAACCAGAAGTGCAATTCTTGCTTTATCAAATCAACTGTATCATTCCCCAATAATTACAAGTATACGGTACAAACTCTATGGCATTTTTACGAAATACTGTTCCCGCACCATCATCAATCAAATATCGTTTTATTTCCAGTTCAATCTCCAAATTAAACCCCCGTGGAAAATAGCGAGGCTTACGCGTACACACACACACACATCCGAGGGGCACCATAGCCGACAAACCGTAAATTCGATTCAGCCGAACGATTTTTCATCGCGCTTCATATACACTCCGTACCACGAAATAAATCGAAGCCTTCCCCCTCCCCCTCTGAGAACAAGGCAGAACAGAAAAAATTACCCTCCCCTCCAACAATGGAATAACCACAAAAGAAGACGAAGAGAAAGAGCAAACGAATTGACTCGGGAGCATAAAAAAGGCACGAAGAACAAGATCGTACGAGGAGGGGGTAGTTGTTGCTACTACCGTGACGTGTACGTACGGAAGGTGGTAAGGTACAGGAGCACAGTATAGTAGGTATACACCCCGAGAGAACTCGCGAGTAGTACCTACAAACGTACGTACGAAGCTCTCGTATCGGGGAAGGATAATTAACTGCTCTCTCTCTCTCTCTCTCTCTCTCCGTCCACTACGACGACGAGGCCGTTGTACGTGTAAAGGCACTGCAGGGTTGGCTCGCGCGTGCCTTTTCCCATTTTCTCTTTCTCCTGCGTTCAACGTGTATAGGTGTATGTATGTAATAATGTATATCCCAGGTACACGGGGCTACGGAGCTTAGCTACACCTACCCTACACGCGTACTCGGTAGGAAGGGGGGAAGGGTCGAAATCAATAAAATCCCCCGGCGTCTATACGCGCGTACGCGTGTACGACCGCATTCATCGGCGAGCTTAAGGCTCTCTCTCTCTCTCTTTTACCGTATCGGTGTATTTATGTATACGAGGAGAGCTCCGTTCCTCCCTTCTTTGCTCTCCTATACGCCTACTTTTTCCTATGCGAGTATGGACACCACGCGCAGCCCCCCCCCCCCCCCCGTTCTATATTGCTTGGATACGTGTAGGACCGTATGCTACCGTAGGGGCTGTCTAGTTCTCGGCTTCGGCTCTGTTATTCGGAAATCGAGCGGTGTGCTTGGGGCGCGCAGATGTGGACCACCCCCTACCCGAGATGTTGGGATCATTTTCTTTTGAAAATCGGCACTTTTGCGGGATGACGTTGCTTTCTGCCATTGTTTTGGATTACGTTCATGGGTGCCGTAAAAAAAAAAATCACTGGTACGTCAAAGCTTTTGGATAGCAGTTGTCTCATTGGAGTAATTTTTACACAAATCAGACTGTTTTCGAATATTAGCTACGAAGAAAACAAACTTTAGCCATAAGTGACAATTTTTTACTAAATTGAATTGTTTGTACTAATCGATTACTAACGTCCACATGTAATAAAATTGCTTAAAATTTATTTTTTCGTCTTAGTAATTAGATATAATTAATTGAACATCAACGAATATTCTTTAGTAAAAAAAAAGGCGTAATTGACACTTTGCCCAATGATGCCCGGTGGCTATCCAGAACTGTACTTGCACCTTTTTGCCAAGTAAAGTCAGCAGGTGAGTCCTTGAATTGCTACAGGAAAAAAAATCTTTTGCCGATACTTTTGTCATTTTTTTAAAGAAAATAACGCAAGCTGGAACTTTACGATTTTGGAAAGAAGGTGTAACTTACAAAGTCACCGCAGATTGAGCTGGTGGTACTAGTACTTTACATTATTTGAAATTAAAGACCGACCATACTCAAGTTTTCCAAGTGGAGTTGCGTGGTATTGTTTACCCCGTAAATAACTTTGTTACGGTGAAACAAGCCCTAAGTCGATCAATCCAACAGTGCTCACAAAATTATTCAGTTTAAATACAAATCGATCGAAAAAAGGTAAAAAAATGAAAATAATCCAAAGTGCTCCCCTAAAAAACACAATCGAATTCTGCACCCCTTCATTTATTAAATATCGGCCATCCATCATTAATCAAACAACGATGATCCCGAGTACTCGCAACCTAATCAATCAAGCCCTAGACACAATTACACGGACAACCACGCGATCCTGCATTGTTATGTACAGGGTACACGGTACATACCCTTCAAAATTAAAAAAGCAACCCCCCGTGCTGCACCCTCGCCCCTATCGCATGTGTAATACCTACTTTCCCCGCACGGAGCGCACTCGATATCCCTGCCGCTAGATGCCACCTCCAGTCCCCCCGCCGCGGCTCCGATAGACCCAATATACCTATGTACACGTGTTGCAGGAAAGGGACGAGGGGAATGCTCCCCACTCCGAGTGCCGGCGCGCGCTGGCGGCAACGGACGTCGAGAAAGAGAGCGGCGACAGGATTCCAGTTAGTGCCGCGGCGCCGCGAGACGAGGAGCTTGCGTGTCGATTTAAGGGCCGCGCCTCTTTCGTTTGCACCTATTGTTTATTTATACTTATCTGGTCTAACAGTAGGTGGTGAAATTGAATTTCGTGGGGCTACGCGAGTGGAAAAAAAAAAAAAAAAAAATTGTTTTTTTACGAATGATACGAAAGATTTGGGTGCTGGGTGATACAAAAAATTATTAATAATCATTCGCGAGTGTGGAGAAACAGCCTCGAAGGGGGTGAAATGAAATTTTAAAAAACGAGTGCTCGTGTTAAAAGTGTCGACGATGACGTTGATTTTTTACAAGTAAGAATCAGGGAAGAAAAAAAGTGCGTGATCTCGTGAGAGAGGGAGAATAGCAGAGGGTGGAATTTTTTTTCAATTGAAAAAAAAAAAAAAAAAATTTTTTTTTTGTCCAACAAAAGCTCCTTCAATTGCACGGACACTTACGTATCGCTCCTGTGGTGCCAGTGTAGGCTGTGCGTTTTCGACGATCGTCGCGTGCATCAGGGCACACACAGGTAGAAGAGCTTGCGGAGGTCGATCGCCACCAGTGGGCTGTCGAGGGGGTAGGTCATAGTGCCGGGGAAGAAGAACCAGCCCGAGGCGGAATAATCGAGCTGTGCAGGCGAGTGGCGCGGGGGCTTTTATCGGTGCGAGCACGCGAAGCCCCCCGCATGATATCTTATCTGGTGCAGTTATTCGTCCTTCTCTCGGCCGTCGTTTGTGCTTCTGCTGACGTTGTGGGTGCTGAATCGCTGGCCGTTGCTGTTGCTGTCACGGCACCAAACCCACACGTCTGTTGCAAAGGTGAGGATTTCTTGATTTTTTTTTTTCTCCTACAGCGTTGGATACTTCGGCTTGTGGTTAGGTATAAGGTGGAATATTATGGCTTCGCTGTTTTATGGGGTATATGAGGCTTCGAGGGATGATTTTTTTTTTTTTCGCCAAAGGACAAACAAACTTATAAAGTTGCGGGTTTAACGTCCCGATCGGTAATCTAACCGAGGGATCTTACGTCGTTTGTTGTGCAAATCGTGATAAAAGGGTACGATGGCCCATTGTTTTAGTATTTTCATACGTCTGTGGAGGGAAGATTTTTTATTTGATAACTTTGAACGAACCGATGACCAGATATTTTAACGACACGCCCACGATCAACTGACGAGCGTTATTTTTCTGTCTCACGTGTTTTTGGACTAGCTTATCTCGATAAAAAAAAAATTATCTGTATGCGCTTTTGCAATTGAACTTGAATGCCAAAGTAATTTACACTTAATTATAGTGATCAAATGTACAAGTTCGCGAATAAAATTATCAAAGAATTGCCGAGCAGAGTTAATAAGGAAACGTCAAGACCAAGTCGATAAATACGCGTCAAATGTGTAGTACAGCCACAGTGCGCGTTTTTTATTCTGGTTAATTGAAAAGGAGAAAAAAAAAGGTGCAATTGGTATATATCATAACAATAACAGCAACGGTAAATTCTTGGCTAATAGATTTTTCGTCGCGAAGCCACAAAAGAGAAAAAAAAAAAAAAAAAAAAAAAAAAAAAAAAAGAAAAAAAAATTAGATTAAAACACACTCCTATACACCCGAAGAGCGGGCAGTTTATCTCGAGAAAATGCTCGGCGATCGCTCTCATTCACTTTTATCGCCACCGCACCGGTGATGAAATTCCGCGCGGCACAGTCTATACATTCGTTCTCTCTTGACGCGAGACATCGTTTTTCATCCGCGAAAGATCGCGTAAATCACACCACACGAATACACACACGCGCGCGCGCGCTCCAAAAACCACGAGCTCATATTTTCCCCACAGTACACACGCCGACGTTCACGAGCTCAGGGACTCCCTCGGCAAATTACAACGTCTTGCTACCGACGGCTGAGGATTGACACGCTCACATCGTACACGTATCCTAAAAATCCTTCGACTACAAAGGATATCCTTATACGATCCCTCGACCCCTACTGTAAATACCTACGTGTATACGTCACGATACAAATGAAATTTACGGATCATCGTCTCACGAGTCAAATTAGTATTGGCTTCCCAAAAGTCAACGCTCCCATTATTCATGCATCCAGAGTTTCCTCGCGCGTATATATACCCAGATGATGATGATACACCTATATTCCCCCCCGAGCACGTATCGCTTACCAACATAATGTTGGCTGTTCGTATACCTGCGGATCCATCCTCAAATTGGCCGTAAAAGCGGCTTTCACGCTCGCGCTCTCCCGTGTCTCTTTGTTGCGCGTACCTATACACCTCTACCTGGATGCATCGAGATCTCCCGGGAGAGACAACTCGTCGATCACCCGTAAATCGAGCGATGAGTAAAAAAAAGGTGCCATTTAGGCCCCTGCCGTAGTTGGTTGTATAACTCGTATGCCATGCTCAGGGGGGCCAATAAATCAACGTCACCGACGAGAGAAAATAAGTGTACGCGCGTTGGTCTCTCTCTCTCTCTCTCTCTCGCGAAATATCGGGACCCGCCGGTTATTGTGCGGGACCCGAGTAAGAGATCGGCCTCGGGAGGATAATGAAAGCGCCGAACGATAATGCGCGCGTGCGACGTTTCCGCTCGACTTACCTACCCCCCGTTTTTCAAGCTCCACACGGGCGATCCTTACAAAGCCTCTGGACTACTATACACATTGCGTGATATTTTGTGCTCCGATTTGACTCTCCCGGATGGCAGTGCTGTAACGCATTAACCGCTCCCCGGATCGATCGAAAGGGAGGCGATGGGGAGAAGGAGCGATTGTGTGCACGTATACCAGCGCGGGGTGGAAGGTTGAGCTGTTGTTGGGGGGGGGGGAGGGCAGGTGAAAATCCAGGGGAGATTTTCCTTTCTTTCCTTTCAGCGTGGAGGACGACGACGATTAATCCCCCAAGTCTCGAGCCGAGGCACGTTGGCTGTTGTATTGTCCCTCTTCCTATCCGGGAATAATTTTTTTTTTTTTTTTTTTTTTTATATCCCTCCCCTATCTCGGGCGATACGACAAAAGGACATGTTTGTCGTGAGACGGAAAAATTCATAGCGTTACGTAAAAATTTTTAACTGCAGCCGGATGGTGGTGGGGAGCACACATCATAAATACATAGGTGCACGAAGCATGAAATCCACCCGAGGCACGTACAAGGAGAAAAAAAATGGGTCCACCGCCAGTGCCGGCGTCAATTAATCCTGCCGCGGAGAGGAGCGCACGTCAGCTGGGAAAACTCGCTGAAACGTCCCTCCCCTTTTCTACCCTTCTCCCAAACTTATAACCCAGTAGTGTACGTATCGGGTCGCTGTGTACCCTCGAGCGCCGTCACGTACGTCGCTTGTGCTCCTCTCTGCCGTGCGTTCGTTTAAACTCGAGAGACGACCGAAGGCTTCTTCTTTTTCTCCTCTCGGTGCAGCGCCGTCGGGATTAGCTTTTCGCTCCCCGTGGACTCTCCTCCGACGCGAGCACGTAAGACGGTGTGTATATGTGTGCGACTTTCAAAAGAATCCGGAGCAGCCAAGCGACCGGGACGGGGTACAAATTTCGCTCGAGTTTTGCGAAACTTGGGTTAAATAAAGGATCACCGGGGGATGACATATGCGCGTTGGGGGTGAGACGTGGACAAAAAAGGAATCTTGAGGAATAATCTTACAAGTGGTCGTGTTAATGGTTGGGGATTATTTCCAGCAAAGGGTATCATTGACTGCGTGTTCGCTATCTCGATGATTTTCCTCGAAAAGAAAAATCTCACCCTCGGCCCTTGGCTATACAATCCAACAACTCGAAGAACACGAAATTCCCTGCCCTCCCGGTGAAAGCCTCACAAGCCTTGGCGAACAAGGAAGCTAAAGCGAGAAAATTAAGGGGCGGCTCGGCTCCCCGTGTGTACGCTGAAAAGGGGGACGGGGGGAATTTCTCGCTCAAATCGCCCGAAAATGGCTCCGTAGTTTCTCGCGAGGAGCTCGCGCGTACGGGAAACTCCAACCCCCTCGCTCTATTGCTCTTCTCGCTCGATTAAAGGAGCCTCCTCGGCTTTTACTTCGTTCCGTTTCAAAGTCTACTCGCTAATTTCCCGGAGCCAAAACTCTCGCGCATGTATGTACCCCCTTGCCGCTGCTTCTTCGCCGTGGTATTAGTTTCCAAGTTTGATCTATTGTACGTCGGGGTGGAATTTGTCACTGCCGGGGTCATCAATCATGGATGGCCTTCTCATACGGATCGGCGAGAGTATAGAGGGTGATTTTTTTCTTTCTTTCATCCAGCAACGTAGAGACGCTTGATTCGTTCACTCAATTTGTATCAAAGATGTACAATTGACAAAAAAAAAAGAGCCCCCATCAAATACGCATTGAGCCGACTGCAGATAAATACGTACTGTTTGAGAAAGAAAAAGGTAACTCTGTCCCGCGCACCGTGAATTCGATGTGATCCATTAGCCGCGAATCGCCCATCTCATAAATCCCCCTACGATTGACCAGTAGCCCGCGGGTCTATGTGATACACGTACATACGCGGGGATGCACAGGAAAAAGAAATCAATTAAGCGCGATAGCACGGAGGTGGTAGTACCAGCTGGTGTTATTCTTTTTTTTTTTTTTTTTCCTCATAAGAGGATTTCGTTGTGTGTCGGCCGAATATTGCGGCGATTGATGGAAATTGGGCGGCTGGGTGAGACAGCTGGGGCGACCACGGAAGGGATTTTCAACTCCAAGCCAGAATTCGTGAAATTTCTTTTTCCCGTTTTTTTTTGCGTGGGGAGACCACCGGATGATTGATACGCCGTGGTGAAATATTCATTTTCGTAATTATTTTAAAATCGCGTTGCGCGTCGATGTGAGAGGGGGGGGGGTGGTTTTTTCATCAGTCAATGGCACACCCACGCGAAGTTGATTAAAAATTTTTCTTCTGCCCCTCTGCTTTGTGCGAGTGTGTGGGGGGTGGGTGAATTTAATTAAGCGTATGATTCTCTATCTTTGAAAATTGATCGGTCGTTGTGCCTCGGCGAGAGAGGAAATTATATACATTACACTTTTGCAATCCACCAAAAATGCAATCACGTGGCTCGTGGACAAAAAAAAAGGGACACAAATTGTCGCGGAAAAAGGTCGGTTACGTGACTCACGCTGCAATCTACCAACGAAACGTGTACACGCACGCGCGATCATCGTCGTTAACTTTTAATCGGAGCGGAGGAGAAGAAAGAGACACCAGCAGTGGCGTCGAGGAGATAACAAGAGGGAAGAGAGAAGAGGAAAAAAAGAAGACAATCGGTCCGCAGTGCTCCTCGCGTCTCGAGTAACAAAACTGGAAATAATAAGAGCATAAAGCCGGACTGGCACGAAAGCTCGCATTTGGACACGAAATAAGCTAATGCTCGCTAATGGGGACGATTTTACGAGCACAGATTGTCTAATCAATTTGATGGGGACCTTTTTTTTCAGAGCTCGAGTCTCGTTTCGACGCGTCGTTAAACTCGTGTTGCGATACGCTTCGCGAGAGAACAAGACACCGTGGATGTCCGCATTGAAAAATTCAATTAAACTTCAATCAAAGAAACGTTTCGATGGATTGAAATCGGGTAAAACGGGCTCGGTAATCGCTTAAACTCACGGCAATACGCGCATCCGATTAAACTTCCACGCTATGAAATCAATATCCTCGAGAGTCAGAACCAGATAACGACGACGTCACCGTCGCTGCACAATAGCCATGATGATCATAGTGACGCATCCTCTCTCCTGCTGTCCCTCGTTCCCACATCGCACGGGCTATGGCGTATATTGGTTGCAGCTTCCATCAAAACCAGCCAT